GGAGCATTTTTCTTTGAGGTCTATGTAATCATTTTCTAGAAAGTATAGGTATCTGTATTAATGTTTTTATATGAAGAAAATAGTGTCTTTGCAGTTTTAAAGACAACTGTGAAACAAAATTGCTTCACCTCCTGGAAAAAAATAATAAATTTCTAATAGACTATGTAGAGCAGCTGACCTTGCCTCCTCCTATGGGCTGGGGCTAACAGGACTGGGGGCTGCACATCCCAGTGACTGAGGCCCTATAGGAGGAAAGTGGGGTGGGGCCAGGGCCCCATGTCCAGCCCAGAGGGAGGAAGCCCTCATCCCTCCATACCCAATTCTCCCTTCCAGCATCCAGCCTCCGGGTTAGCCAGCCTCAGTTTCTCCTTCTCAGCAAGGCTGGGGACAGCCCTTTCCATGCCTGGTCCCTGCCTGAGTGCCAACAGCACAGGATTTCAAAGCCCTTCATCTTCCCTTGTCAACAAGAGACAAGGAATCTGCCCATGCACATAGTACATCACCACTACAGCCTACAAATAACTAGCAATTTAGAAAACTACCACACTAAGGATATCTATAATCAAGATATCTATCCAGAACCTGCACTCCCGTCAAAGTACCCACAAGCAAAATGAAAGGTCCTTACCCAACATATGCTACAGGCACACCCTTAAGAGTGGCCGTGGGAGGGAATAGTTCCATCAAGACAAAAGAAAATTGAAAAACAAGAAGCAAAAGATGAGAAGGAATTAGTGCAAGACCTCCAGAAGTATAAAAAATAAGAATGAGGCCAGGCGTGGTGGCTCACACCTGTAATTCTAGCACTCTGGGAGGCCAAGGTGGGCAGATTGCTCGAGGTCAGGAGTTCGAAACCAGCCTGAGCAACAGCAAGACCCCGTCTCTACTATAAATAAAAGAAATTAATTGGCCAACTAATATATATAGAAAATATTAGCCGGGGATGGTGGTGCATGCTTGTAGTCCCAGCTACTCTGGAGGCTGAGGCAGGATTGCTTGAGCCCAGGAGTTTGAGGTTGCTGTGAGCTAGGTTGATGCCACAACACTCACTCTAGCTTGGGCAACAAAGCGAGACTCTGTCTCAAAAAAAAAAAAGAATGAAAGGATCACCCCAAAAGAGCACAGTAGCTCTCTAGCAGTGGACCCCAACCACAATGAAAACACTGAAATGACAGATAAAGAATTCCAAATATAAATTGTAAGGAATCTCAAGGAGATGCAAAAGAAAATGGAAGAGCAACTCAAAGAAATCAGAAAAATAATTCAGGAAATGAATGAAAAAAATTTAGTAAAGAGATATATTTTAAAAACTTAAATAGAACTTCTGGAAATAAAATTCATTTAGGGAAATACAAAACACAGTGGAAAGTTTTAAGAATAGACTATACCACACAGAACAAAGAATTTCAGAGCTTAAAGATAATTCTTTCAAATTAACCCAGTCAATCAAAAATAAAGAACAAAGAATCAAGAGGAATGAACCAAGTGTACAAGAAATAGGGGATATGTAAAATGGCCAAATATAAAAAAAACAGGCATCCCTGAGGAAGAAGAAAAACCAAAAGGCCTGGAAAACCTATTTGAGGGAATAATTGAGGAAAACTTTCCTGGTCTTGCTTGAGATATAAACATCCGGATACAAGAAGCTCAATGAACACCTGGGAGATTCACTGTTAAAAGGGAATCACCAAGGCATGTAATCATCAGACTGGCCAAAGTCAATGTGAAGGAGGAATTCCTACAAGCCGTGAGGGGAACACATCAAGTAACTTACAAAGGAAAACCCATCAGACTAACAGCAGACTTATCAACGAAAATCTTACAAGCTTGCAAAGAATGGGATCCTATCTTTAGTCTCTTTAAACAGAATAACTGCTAGCCAAGAATTCTGTATCCTGCAAAACTAAGTTTCATAAATGAAGGAGGAATAAAGTCTTTCCCAGATAAACAAATATTAAGGGAATTTGTCATTGCTAGACCTGCCCTACAAGAAATGCTTAAAAATGTTCTATATATGGAACAGAACAACTGATACCCAGCAGTGTAAAAGTACCCAAAAATTAAAACTCATAGCTCTTATGAAACAGTAATACAAGGAAAATAACAAAGCAAATAGGTAATAATCAAAATGATGACCAGAACGGTATCTCACATATCAATACTAACATGGAATGTAAATTGCCTTAATATCCCACTTAAAAGATGTAGATTGGGCCAGGCTTATACGTGTAATCCTAGCACTCTGGGAGGCCGAGGTGAGAAGATGACTTGATATCAGAAATTTGGGGCCAGCCTGAGCAAGAACAAGATCCTGTCTCAACCAAAAATAGAAAAAATTAGCTGGATGTGGTGGTATGCACCTGTAGTCCCAACTGCCCAGCTACCCTACTGAGGTAGGAGGATCACTTGAGCCTAGGAGTTTGAGGTTACAGTGAGCTATGATGACTTCACTGCACTCTAACCAAGGCAACAGAGACAGACTCTGTCTCCAAAAAGAAAAAAAAAAAACATGTATTAATATATTGGCTGATTATATATAAAAACACAACCCAACTGTATGCTGTCTCTAAGAAATCCATTTAACTTACAAAGATTCTCATAGACTCAAGGTAAAGCATTAGAAAAAAATATTCTATGCAAGTAGAAACCAAAAGTGAGCAGGAGTTACTATTCTCACATTAGATAAAATAGACTTTAGATCTACAATTGTTTTTAAAAAGACAAAAATGGTCATTATATGATGATAAAAGCATTAATTTAACAAGAAGACACAATAATCTTAAATATATATGCACCTAACACAGGAGCTCTTAGATTCATAATGCAAATTCTACTAGATCTAAGGAAAAAAAATAGCATCATAATAGCCAAGGATTTCAACACTCCAGTGACAGAATTAGAAGATGAACAAAGAAATGCTGGACTTAGATGGAACTTTAGAACAAATGGGCCTAATGGATATTACAGAATATCCTAACCAAAAATTATAGAATATACATTCTTCTCATAATCACATGGGACATTTTCCAGGATAGATCATATGTTAGGCCACAGAACAAATGTCATCAAATGTAGAAAAATCAAAATCATACCATGTATCTTCTCAGACCACAGTGGAATAAAACTAGAGATCAATTCCAAGAGGAACTCTCAAAACTATACCAATATATGAAAATTAAACAACCTGATGCTAAACAATGCTTGTATTATTGATGAAATCAAGATGGAAATAAAAATTTCAAATTGAACGACAAGGGCAATACAAGCTACCAAAATCTATGGGATACAGAAAAAGCAGTGCTAAGGGGAAAGTTCACAGCCTTATATGCTTAGATCAAAAGGAAAGGAAGATCACAAATTAATAACCTAATGTCACACCTCAAGGAACTAGAAAAAGAACAACAAACTGAACCCAAAGCTAAAAGTGAGAAAGAAATAACAAAGCAAAGAGCAGAATTAAACAAAATGGAAACCAAAAACAAAACAAAACACAAAAGGATCAACAAAACAAAAAGTTGGTTATTTGAAAAGACAAACAAAATTGATAGACTACTAGCTAGATTAACCAGAAAAAGAAGAGAAAGGACTCAAATATGCTCCATCAGAAATGAAAAAGAAGACATTACAACTGATACCACAGAAATGCAAAATATCATACATGACTACTGTGAAAACCTCTATGCACATCAATTGGAAAACTTAGAGGAAATGGATAAATTCTTGGAAACACACTATCTCCCAAGCCTGAATCAGGAGGAAAAAGAAATCATGAGCAGACCAATAACAAGCAGCAAGGTTGAAACAGTAATAAAAAAAATCTCCCAATAAAAAAAGTCCCAGGCCCAGATGAATTCACAGCCAAATTCTACCAGACCTATAAGGAAGAACTGGCATCCATTCTACTGATACTGTTCTGTAACATTGAGAAGGAGGGAACCCTTCCTAACTTATTCTATGAAGCCAGTATTATCTTGATACCAAAGCCAGGAAAGGATACAGCAAAAGAAGAAAACTACAGACCAATATCTCTTACAAACATATATGCAAAAATCCTCAACAAAATGTTATCAAACCAAATTCAAAAGCACATCAAAAAGATAACCCACCATGACAAAGTGAGTTTCATCACAGGGAATGCAAGATGGTACAACATAAGCAAATCAATAAATGTGATTCACCACATAAACAGAAGTAAAAGCAAAGACCATATGATCAACTAATAGATGCAGAAAAAGCATTTGATAAAAGCCAGCACTTCTTCATGATAAAAAATCTCAACAAACTAAGTATAGAAGGAACATACCTCAAAATAATAAAAACCATATATGACAAACCCACAGACAACATTATAGTAAATGGGAAAAAGTTGAAAGCATTCCTCCTAAGAACTGGAAAAAGACAAAAAGTGCCCACTGTCACCACTTCTACTCAACATAATACTGGAAGTCCTAGCCAGAGCAATCAGGCAAGAGAAAAAAGTGAATGGCATCCAAAACAGAAAAAAAGGAGATCAAATTATCCCTGTTTGCCAATGATATAATCTTATATCTAGAAGGCAAGGAGGGAGGGGAGAGGGAAAAACAAAAGAAAAAAAAAGTTGTAAAGAAAAACCAATAATCTTATATCCAGAAAATCCTGAAGACTCTACCAAAAGACTCCTAGAACTGATAAATTTAGTAAAGTCTCAGGTTACAAAATCAATGTGCACTGATCTGTAGCATTTCTATATACTAGTAACAGTCAAGCTGAGAGTCAAATCAAGAACACAATACCATTTACAAAAGCTGCAAAGAAAATGAAATATCTAGGAATATACTTAACCAAGAAGGTGAAAGATCTCTACAAAGAGAACTACAAAACACTGATGAAAGAAATCATAGATGACACAAACAAATGGAAAAACATCCCATGTTCATGGACTGGAAGAATCCATCTTGTTAAAATGTCCATACTGCTGCCCAAAATGATTTACAGATTCAACACAATTCCCATCAAAATACCTATGTTGGTCCTTGCCATTTCCTGTTCCTTGTGGGTCTTTTGTCTTGGAGTCCAACATGATGAAGACCTCTGTGCTCTTAGGCAGCTCCTTCCTCCTTTCTTCGTTGTTTTGGAATTCTTCTGGATTCGACTCAACAATAACTTAAATGTGTTCTGAAGATTGGTTGTTAGAATGAGAAGGCTCTCTAATAACGAAACGGAAATTAGAAGTGACGAAGTATACCTGGGAGATCACTGTCCTGTAATGAGACTGCTGTTAGATAACTACAAGTTTTCTTATCCTGTCACTCATTGTGGGATCAAGAAAATTGTGGTCTTGAACACCATAGTTTTAGGAAAAAAAAAAAAAAAATTGTGGTCCTAGGGAATGATATTGTTATATTATCTAAGATCAATTTTACACCAGTGCTGGATGCCATCTATGAATTGCTGGTGATTGCTTTGTGAGGGCGCATAAAGCCCCATCTTCGTTGCATTTTGGAATGAATGGGTACAAAGTCAAAGCTGTGGGCGATGGCCCTCAAGTGACAAAAGAAGAGCAAGCCTCCTCAGCTCCTTCACAAAGTCAAAACTGTGAACTTACCCGTAGCAGCACTAATAGCAGCCGCCTGTCCATGAATCACTGCATCAATAATGCCCATATTATGACTCCCACTTTTCCCTAAGACACAGGAGCAAGTGGTTCATATTTTTCTGAGAGCCAGTTTCAATAATGCTGTTATTATATCTGTCTGAAGATGAGTAGTAATATCTGTTACCTGCTTGAATACCTTCCAGAATTTTGGATAGTATTAATATATATCTGGAATGTGATATTTAAACTTTTTAATGAGTTAATTTTAAGTAAAATTGCCATTCTAACTTTGTATGTGAGTTCATACACAATAAAGCTTATCTATATTTTAAAAAATACCTATGTTGTTTTTTACAGATCTAGAAAAAAGAATCCTAAACTTCATATGGAACTGAAAAAGAGCCTGAGTAACTAAAGCAATCTTAAGCAAAAACAACAAATCTGGAGGTATCACATTACCTGACTTCAAATTATACCATAAGGTGATAGTAACTAAAGCCACATGGGGTACTGGTATAAAGGTAGACACATAGACCAATGGAACAGAATAGAGAACCCAGTAATGAAACCATATAGCTATGACGAACTGAATTCTTTTTTCTTTTTGAGATGAAGTCTCACTTGGTCACCTGGGCTAGAGTGCCGTGGCATCAGCCTAGCTCACAGCAACCTCAAACTCCTGGGCTCAAGAATTCTCCTGCCTCAGCCTCCCAAATAGCTGGGACTACAGGTGTGTACCACCACACCTGGCTAATTTTTTTTTTAATTTTAGTAGAGACAGAGTCTCACTTTTGCTCAGGCTGGTCTCGAACTCCTGAGCTCAAGTGATCCTCCCACCTTGGCCTCCCAGAGTGCTAGGATTACAGGCGTGAGCCACTGTGCCCCAGCCCAAGACCAACTGATTTTTGATAAAGCATACAAAAACATATACTGGGGGCTGGGCATGGAGGGTCAGCCTGTAATCCTAGATGTTGATGGGGATGCAGTGAAAAAGTAAGGCTTATGCACTGTTGGTGGGACTGTAAATTAGTACAATCTCTATGGCAAACAGTATGGAGATTCCTCAAAGAACTGAAAGTAGATCTGTCATTTGATCCAGCAATCCCACTACTGCATATTTACCCAAAGGAAAAGAAGTCATTGTATCAAAAAGATACTTGCACCTGAATGTTTATTGCAGCACATTTCATAATGGCAAGGATGTGGAATCAACCTAAGTGCCCATCAATTGATGAGTGGATAAGGAAAATGTGTCTGTCTCTGTCTCTGTCTCTCTGTCCCTGCTCCTCTCTCCCTCTCTCTCTGTTGTTGTGTGTGTGTGTTGTGTGTGGTGGTGTGTTGGCGTACACCATGTATCAGCCATAAACAGGAATAAAATGATGTCATTTGCAGCAACTTGGATGGAACTGGAAACATACCTAGCACGAAGTATTCAGAAGAAAAGCAAACACCACATGTTCCCACTAAATGACTAAATGGGAGCTAAACGATAGGTACACACAATCATAAAATGGTATAAACCACATTGGAAACTAAGAAGAGGGGAGGGTGGGAGGAGCATGAGTGATAAAAACTTACCTATTGGGTACAATGTTCACTATTCTGTGCGGCGCACTACTAAACACTGCGCAGATATACAATTTATCCTATAACAAATACTTGTCATCCCTAATATTTCAATAAAACTATTTTTTTTTTGAGACAGAGTCCGCTGTTGGCCAGGGCTAGAGTCGGTTTTTGTCTGGCTGAGTCCACCAGAAACCTCAAAATCTCTGGCTCAACGATCCTGGTGCTCAGCCTCCCGAGGGAGCTGGACTACATGCATCCACCACCATGCCGCTATTTTTTGTATAGATTTTATTTGCCAATTATTCTTTTCCAAGTTATAGTAGAGAACGTTTCTCGCTCTGCTCAGGGATTGAATCGCTGACTAGCAACCGCCCCAACTCGGCTCCCAGAGTGCTAGATTACATACAGTGAGCCCCACTCGTGCCGGCCATTAAAAAACTGATTTAAAAGAAAAGAAAAAATTAGAGCTGACGGGAGGTCGATTTAAACACGCAACCAGCAGGCGTGTTTCCTGCACCACGCGAATGTTGGATGCGATCCATCAGGGTGGGTCGCGCATGGTTCGCAAACCCACAAAGGCCCCACTAAGCAAAGGCAGCACTTCCAGGCATTTGCCTCTCAGGGGCACTGGTTCCACATACAGAGTCACTGGTCACACACGCATCTTTCTTCTTACGCAATACATTCCGTACATATTTAATGAAATTGTATCATTTTAACACAGTGCAACAGATACAAGCAGGTTTAGAAACTGACGCAACGTGCCAGGCGCGGTGTGGCTCAACATGGTTCTCGGAGAGAAGAGACAGTATCTGATGAGTGCCTTAAATGAAGGCCTGTGGATTTTGCCATTTCCTCTTTTGAACACCCACCTTTATAAGAGTATAGCCCACTGAGGGGCAAGGCATTTAAAAAGGCAAACATATAAATATAGTAAAATACTAACACTTCAAAAGAGACTTAAGAGATCATCCTAATATTAAAGTTGGGTACTAAGTGAATAAGTCATTTATCTTCTTCTTTTGTATATTTGAAGTTTTCCATACTAAAAAAATTCTTTTAAATTATTATACAATAGTTAGTGTATAACTATTATACAATAGTTAGTCACTAGAGTTAGTGACTTCTTTGAGAATTTGATGAAAGCTCTGGACTTTCCCCACAGAAAATTTAAACAGGCCTATTCATGAACTGTATTGCATATAGTTCATACAGTCATGGACTGTATTGCATTCATGAACTGTATTGCATTCATGAGACTGTATTGCATACAGTCTCAAGGAATTCACAGAATCCTTGAAGGCCATTCATAGATCCCATGGGAATCCCTGTTTTCTAGCCCTTCCTCTTTAGTTTGCATGTGAGGAGACTAAGTTCCAGGAGGTGAGACGATTTGCCCAAGGTGACGATGGGACAGGAGCAGGGCTGCCCTCTGCCTCCTTCATAGCACATTTATGAATTCAGAAAGGAGGGGAAATTCCAGAATGGAACACAGTGCCATTAGAGACCGACCTCTACAGGGGCTATCAAGTGTCATATCCATCTGCTTCTTGATTCCTGTAAATGAAGCCTCCTTCACCCAGTCACCCAGGTGTGCAGGCCTGGACCTCCTTTCACCCCTTTCTCTTCCTCACCTTCCATATCCAACCAGTCAGGGAATCCCGTGACTCCTGCTGTGTGGTCTCTCACCCCTGCCCTTCCTTGCCTTTCCTCCCTCCCTCCCTCCTTGTGCTCTGTCTGTGCCACGGCCACTCCCTCAAACTAGCCTCCTGTCACCATTGTGCCAGGCCTCACCCAATCCACATAGACTCACCAGATTAATGTCTTGAAAGCACACCTCGTACCATGTTCCTGCCCTGCTCAAAAAGCTGCTTGCGACGCATTCCCCAAATGAGGCCACCACCCAGAGCAAAGGCACATCTAAGCTGGGCCCACACAGCTGGTCGGTGGAGCCCCGGAATCCTGGAGGCCCAGGCCTCTGGTTTTAAATTTAATGCTCTTCAAGGGTAGACACTAGATAGGCAGCATCAGAACCAACCAGTTTGATGAACATGCAATTTCCTGGGCTCCTTGCCTAGATGACTCAATCAGAATCTCCAGAGAATCTGCATTTGCAACAAGCTCTGAAGGTAATTCCAAGAATCAGTCAAGTTTGGGAATTACTTCTCTATATAAATATATGCAGTATATAATATATAATCAATAAATCGATAAGAACCCATTAATAGGTTCTTATAATGGGTTCCTATTAATGGGTTCTTATTGATTTATTGTCTAATACTGCATATATTACATGACTTGGTTTAGACAATATTGCTACTTTGATATACTTCTATACATTGTTTCTCAAAATATGTAGTCTGCGGTGTGGCTGCAAACCCTGAAGACCAGAGTGGGACACCAGTGTTTCTGGTTTGAAAGGTTGCAACACGGACTGTGACTGCTCAGCAATAGTCTTTGTCCAGTTATATTTAGCAAGAAGATAAAGCTATAGCTAATGTTTCATCATCATCTCTGCAGAGCTGCTGAATTCACATCTGAATCATGAGCTTTGTTGCTTACTACAGTTCTCCATGAATCAGAGCAAACATCCCTGAACCTCTTTCTGCCAAGGTTTTCATATGCTTGAGTCACTTTTCACTTTCTCTAATGTTCAGATCCTTCAAAAGAGGGCAAGCTTGGAGCACATATGCCCATCCTACACAGGCATCCACAGATCTTGAATTTCAGACCTAAAAAGTTCAAGGCTTCAGAAAAAGCGCAGGCATTCCGAAAGGCTAAGATAAGAGAAATGTGGCAAAACTAAAGAGAGTGGGTATAAGTTAAAAGGGTTGGATGTACACCGGTGATCTGAGCTTTCTGGTCTCGCTCCACAAGCCAATGTCCCCGGAGATGTGTGGCACACTGTGAGCTGTCCAGGTAGGCTGCTTGATCCCAGCTGACCTGAACAACCAGTTTCTGCAGATAACCTCTTTAAATGTCCTGGGCACAGAGAAGGTCCCAGCAACTTCCTTTTTCTGTGTCAAACCTTCCATCCTCACTCCTGAAACTAGGCTCTTTGTGAAATGGAGTTTTAGGGGGAGGGGGGGGGCGGGTGAGAGGCAGCGCCAGCCTGCCAACAGGAATCCCAGTTCAACAGGCCGGGTGCGGTGGCTCACACCTGG